GGACGTACGTCTAGGACGCATCGTGTAAATAGGCCTGGCACTCACGCAGTAGCTTCCCTACACTCACGCAGCAGTAGATTGAACACTGCAGTTACCAACTATATAGCTAGCACATACGGAAACTTCCTAATCATCGACTGAAGGCCTAGGACGTACACCGTGTATGACAATGCAAACGCAATGTCGGAAGAAATTAGAACATCCGTCCTGTGCATCCGATATCGCAAGGGTCATACATTTGCATTGTCATACACGGTGCGTTTTGGACGTACGTCCTAGACGTACGTTTAGGACGCATCGTGTAAATAGGCCTTCACACCGACATAAACTTGCCAATTATCGCTCGCTCGCCAACTACCGATTCGTGAATTATTCCAATTAATACACGTACGTGCTATCATGAGCTCTCGGAAAAAATCATGTACAAACGGTTATCTTCCTAATTTGCGACTTTCTTTTAGGAGAGTCGTATAGGAATTACCTTAACAAATCAAGACAGAGGATAAGCCAAGCAATGCTAACATGTTTTGCAGCAGTTCTGCGTAACGCTCGTGGTAGAATTGGATCGGGTTTCATATAGTCGAACGGAAGTGTTAATTTTGGATACTTATAAAACGGTTATAAATTGGAATCTGAAGCTCAATGAGCATCATGTACTGTACGGCGTTTACATAGCTACACAACGCATGTAACCAAATAGTAACACAACCTAAAGTATTTCGTATAAAACTAGTATGGATTAGCTGTAGCTTACCGTTGCTGGCAGGACACCTCGTGAAATAGATTGAAATCTTGATATCTGTTCTAGCGTCGGCTCCACTTCTTCCGGTATGGAGTTCTTTCGCAGTCTCATGGGTAAATACCCTATAATAAAATATCTCAAGCTACTGACCAATACAGTACACTGCTAGTTGACATGCTTTGTTTATACATGACACGAACCTGCCTAAAAGTGTGTTTGTACCTTTATGTACTACTAGCTGCGGGTACCTGCTGCGCTGGGTAAAATCGTGCTACTAATTCATAGTAGTAATAATGGGACACAATAGGAACATTGGGTAAAAATCGACAATAACATTGCAGACAATATTAATATTTAGAAATGAGTGTAATAAGATAATAAGCATGGGAAAAACGGAAAAACTGTTACGTATGACATTTATATGACAGCACAACCGAACTTAGAACACCTGGGACATAATAGTAATATGGTGTAAATGACAAAAAGTTATTATAAGAGCATGTAAGGATGGGTTGCACTTTTCATTTGAAAACCTCTTGATAAAGAATGTTTTTCGTCTTATTCTCTGGTGCAAATATATAGAGATTCCTGGCGTCTCCAACTCTTGAGCTCCCCACGTACAGCTATCCATTGTGAGATCGTAGCATGAATAAAAGGAATATAGTATCAGGAGCTAATAATGAGAAATTTGTCATTATTAGCTGCTCATAGTATAGATAGAGACACGCAACCCATGCACATTGAAATGAAGAAATTTTCCTACTGAATCAGAAACTGCATAGCTTTCGAGATGCATTCTGAGATCGTAGCATCTGAACTGCACCTCTGAGCTGAGTGAGTAGTACCTCTAAACTGGTTGAACTGGTGCTGGTTGTGGTGTGTTTTAGTATTGGTTTCGGTTTCACAATACCAGCAGCCGGATGAGGTGAGGGAATCGATTTTTCTCTGTGTGGCAGCACTGTACAGTCAGTGCTGACATTGTGTGAAGTTTGACGAATTGACGGGTTTTTCACGGATTTTTCGGTGAGTTTGACGGTTTCACAGGTTTTTTTCGTCTAGGAACACTCCCCGGGTATAAGAGATGGCCCTGTGAAAATTCCATCCAGATCGCTTGGGCGGTTTGGCCGCCTATAGGGAAGATACATACATACGAACTCAAATATATATTAGACTAGCTGTGGGTACCCGCTTGGCTGGGTAAATCGGGCTACAATTGCATAACTATATATTGGACACAAATAGGAATTGGGTTAAGAAATCGACAATAATAACATTGCACACAATATAAACTATTTACAAATCAGTGTAATAAGAATAATGAAGGCAGTGGGAAAAACCTGTTACGTATGACATTTATAATGACAGCAGAAACAACTTAGAAGGCCCTGGAATAATAGTCAATATGGTCGGAATAATGAGAAAAGAGTTATTATGAGGGGAGGCAATGGTACGAATTGGGTTCAGGTTTTTTCATTTGAAAACCCTCTGATAAACAATGGTTTGCCGTGTTATTGTCTGGTGGAAATATGTAGAAGATTCGCTGGCGTCTCGAACTGTTGAGCTCATTACGTCGCTATCGGCATTGTCAGATTCGTAGGATGAATAAAGCGAATTGGGTATATAATATAGATAGAGACAGGCCAGCGAGTCGGGGTCTGTGTCGCATTGGAGTATTTGTCTTAGTTAACTGCTTGGCAGCGCACATGCACCATTGTAAATAGAAGGAATTTTCGCTAGCGTAATCATGAAAAGGCAATAGCTTTCGAAATGGTTACAGATGGATTCGTGAATCGAGGCATGAATAAAAAAGTCGATATATTGTATAGAGACAGGCCAGCGAGTGGGAAATTTGTAATTATATAAGAATGTTTACTCACGTTGTAGCGCGTCCTTTCGCGTTGAATTGGTTTTGAGCAATCGTAACCTGCTCAACTATATGATATCATACCTAAATCTATAGTGAATCCTATATAATACTTTACAAATCGTCTTAATCAAGATAACTAAGCATGGTAAAAACCACGGTTACGTATGACATTTATATTGACAGGCGAGCAACAGCCACTACGTATTGAACACCTGGAACATAATAGTAATAAGGTGTAAATACAGAAAACAGTTATTCTAAGCTAGCATGTATCGCAATGGGTTGCACTTCTCATTATCAAAGCCCTCTTGATAAAGCAAGATGCAGTTCGTAAACGCTCTGAACAGGTTCCTGGTTGTGCTCTGTTTTAGTATCGTTTCGGTTTCACACATACCAGCAGCTTGATGGAATGAGTGATCGATTTTTCTGTGTGGCAGCACTGTACAGTCAGTGCTGAGATTGTGTGAAGATTCACGAATTGAGGGGTTTTTCACGGATTTTCGGTGAGTTTGACGGTTTGGCAGTTTTTTTTTCAGCTAGGAACACTCCCCGGGTATAAAGATGGCCCTGTGAAAATTGCATCCAGATCGCTTGGAGCGTGTTGGCCGCCTATAGGGAAGATACATACATACAGAAAAAAATCATACATACATACATACATACCTAGCATAAAACATATCATAGATACATAGATACATACGAACTCAACTATATATTAGATGATAGATTCTCACCGAGTGTTATTGTGCACATAGTATACAATGTACTAGTGTCATTATAAGCATTAACTATATAAATAACTATATAAAGAACGCAGATGTAACACGAATAGATGAATATAGTATATATATATTAATATTAATAAATATAATATAATAAATAAATATAATATATTATCACCATTATGACTACGTCTACAAAACTATCAACATTACCCATACGAATCGGCATGTGCGCGTAGAATATAAATGCGCACCGTTAAATATATGGGTCGCTATGTCGAGTACGGCAGCTGATCGGCGCATATACTACATAATATATAGTAATAATATAGTAATACTACATATATAGTAATAATATAGTAATACTACATATATAGTAATAATATAGTAATACTACATATATAGTAATAATATAGAAATACCACATATATAGTAATAATATAGTAATATTACATATATAGCAATAATATAGTAATACTACATATAGTAATAATATAGTAATACTACATATATAGTAAGAATATAGTAATACTACATAATAGTAAGAATATAGTAATATATATAATAGCGGCTATACCTTCAGCAGGAAAGCTGACCTTGCGGCGTGGATGGATGGCTGAGTGAGGAGCGAGGTCGTCCATTCTCTCCATGCGCTGCTGCAGTAAGATGTTCGTGTGGATCTCGATCATTTCACCAGGCAGGGACTTCGACTTTGGCCTTCTGAATGCTGCAAGAGCGAACAAGCCGCTGCGCACTGTTTACAAGGAAATCGCTCATTCTCCCCTTGTCTGTCCGCCTCCACCTCCCAAGCCGACCCTCCCTCTCTCTCTCTTTCTCTCTCCCCTTTCTCCCTTTTTTCTCTCTCTCTCCCTCTCACTCTCTCGCGCGCTCTCTTTCGCTCACCGTCTCCTCTCGCTTACACTTCGTTGTCTCTTTCTTTATCCCCCTCTTCCGCTCTCTCTCTCGCTCTCCCCTCTTTCTTTCGCTCGCGCGCGCGCTCTCTCTCTCTCTCTCTCTCTGTCTGTTGTTCTCTCAATTCTCTCCCGATCTCGCTTTCTTTCGCGCCCCTCTCTCTTTCTCGCATCTCTCTATCCGATTGGTCTGGTGAGTACATTCGCGTTGCGCGCATGCGCGCAGCATCAACCAGCGGCATCTTCCATTATGTTATGGACCTACCATATCGAACTACCATAATCGCGCCAATTCAGGAAAATCAAAGAGCACTCGTGGGGAACACTGAGCGCCGCCTCGCAAGTTTGTGAAGTAGCTGATTTTCGAACAGTACTGGGTATCAATCAGTTCGCCGCCACTTATAGCAACTGTGATTTTCGCAGTAGAATTTTCAAGAAGGATATAGCACTGCTCCTGATTGCATAGAGTAGGTACGCAAGGCGAGTGACGAACAGTCTAATGATCTAGGGCGATATTGATATAGCAATAGCAGGAACTACACGGAGAAAAACCTGCATGCCAGCGCGCAAACGCACGAACGCACGTATACACGAACGAACGCTCACGCCACGCAATTATATTATTTTATCTAGGAATGGAATAATGCGTTGCCATCCAGGCGTTTGCATCGTAATAACGACATCGTATCGCGTAACTATACGTGCCAACATCCACATGCACATTTGTCTGTCTGAGAACATACGTCATCATCGCTAAGTCACGTGAAATCACCGTTAGCCGCTTGGACATCTTTACGACCTCGTAATAAAATCGATCGCGCCGCTGAAGCCCGAGAGAATGTGCCTAGAGCGTTAATCGCGAATGAATTCTGCGTCATGGTAGCTCGCGAAGACGTGACCAAACAAATTACGGACACGCACAGCAAAGGGCGCCGACAGCCAGGGCAAAAAGAGTTCCTTTATCCTCTATAAATATATCGAGCGCTCGACCATATCAAAGAGCCGCCAAAGTATTTGATATCGCCGCGTAATATCTGCACGGCTGTGCCTATTAGACGACTGAATGCGGTCAGCACGACCCGTCATATCTTTCTCTCTCTCTCTCTCTCTCTCTCTCTCTCTCTCTCTCTCCTCTAATATCTCCTTTCACGTTCGGCTTCTGTCCTTGCTTACTTCTTCCTTCCTTGTTTCACCTCTCCATCCGTCTCTCTCTCTCTCCGTTTCTTTCGCTGCCGTAATTCAATGCCATCGTGCTTGATTCACGCGCCGCCAGGCACGGACGCGATCGCCCAGCGTTACAACCGCCAACCGGTAACACACGAGCGGTCGTCATGTTACAACGCGCACACCAGTAACTACACGAGACGGTCGTCAGTTACAAGACAACCGCAGCACCGGTAACGACACGAACGGTCGTCATGTTACACAGCACACACCGCGCACAACATAACCACACGACGGTCGTCATGTTACAAACCGCACAACCAGTAACACGCACGACGGTCGTCAATGTTAACACCGCACTACCGGTAACACAACGACGTTCGTCATGTTATCACCAGCACACGGCAGGTAACACACGAGTTCGTCATGTTACAAAACGCACACCGCAGTAACACACGAGCGGTCGTCATGTTACAAACCGCAACATCCAGTAACTACACGAGCGGTCGTTCATGTTTACACACACCGCCCAACGCAGTAACACACACGGTCGTCAATGTTACAACCGCACACCGGTAACACACGACGTTTCGTCATGTTACCGCACACGGAACGACAACGACGTTCGCATCGTTTACACCGCACACATGCGGACCAGTAACCACGAAACGGTCCGTCATGTTTACAAGCCGAACAAGTAACAGCACGAGCGGTCGTCATGTTACACCCGCACACCGTAAAACACACGCCAGCTGCATGTACGCACACGGCCAGCAAAACACGCACAAACCATACACGCACGTGCACGATGACCCCCCACCACGCAACTCTACGCACGCACGCTCAGCACACACAACTCCGAGCCGAAGCAGAACACACACACACACACACACCACACACACGGCCACACACATTAACGACCACACACGCACAGCGCACGCAGCACGCACAACGCACAACGCACACGTCCACACGCAGCATGCAACACGCAACACGCACATGTCGGGAGTAGGACGCACACGCACCACGCACACGCGACACGCACACGCGGCACGCGCAACGCGCGGAACACACACACACACACACACACAACACACCACAACAACACGACCTACGACTGCACCCAAGCACTCGTTTAATAGACAGACTGGAGGTTATTGGCGCGCGACCGCGCTCATCACGAAGCGCGTGAGCCTCTATCCTTAATTAGTACCCTCGGTGATGTCATGAATACTCGTGCGCAGTGACCGACCTATATATATAAATCAGCAGCTGCGGGATCATCCGCACCTCGCAAAACTCAGATGACTTACGTGGCTTCCCACTTTATCAGCTTCGGTTCCAGTCACGTAGCTTGATTATGTACCAAGCGCCTATATTTATCAATCGCGCTTAGAATTGACCGAATTCCCGATAGGAAACTGCAGCCCTATTGCTAGCTTAGTCTAGTTGAAAAATGCCATGTATTTGAGACTCACCTGCAACAACTCCAACATTTACATATGGTTTATATTTTATATGTACTTTATGTTTTAATGTACTTTAATGTTTTAATTTAAATGTATGTTTATGTACATGTGGTATGTTTTTAATGTATGTATGTTTTAATCGTATGTTTTTATGTTTTATTATGTACTTATGTTAATAAATTCACAATTTGCGCTGATTGTCTGTCTGGAGTCGTCCATTCTCGCAAGAATAGTTATTTGTTAGGAGCGAGCATTGACCAATGTGTATACACTCGAGATAGGCTGTGGTACGGAAACAGCCGAGGTGTGCCGAGTAGGTGACCTGTCAAATATACGGGCGTGGTTAGACATAGGTACGGAAACAGCCGAGGTGTGCCGAGTAGGTGACCTGTCAAATATACGGGCGTGGTTAGACATAGGTACGGAAACAGCCGAGGTGTGCCGAGTAGGTGACCTGTCAAATATACGGGCGTGGTTAGACATAGGTACGGAAACAGCCGAGGTGTACCGAGTAGGGTCACGACCTCGATCTGTACTCACTCGCCGGAATCTCCTCCATCTCGTCATCGTTCTCGTCGTCGTCTGCCGTCGCACACTCAGGCTGCGCGCCGACGTCTTGTTCGACGTGTCTGTCCTTGCATGTGCGCGGCGTCCTGTCCCGGCAGGGGGCGGCGTCGTCGCTCGCTTCGCTGCATAGCTGAGATAGTTTCTGCTTCAGTTCGTCAAATTCGTTCACAGAGGAGCTGTCACTTAGCGTCTGCTGCGGCAAACTCTCACACAGCGGCTCCCCTTCCATCGTTGTCGTCTGCAGGTCTCCTGCGACTCCTCCTTCTTTTCCTTCTTTTCGCTTACTACTACTCCTTCTCCCTCCGCGGGAGATGTGTATGCGGCGTCTTTGTGCTCAGGTCGAGATCTTGGTTCGCGAATAGTTGTCCCCCGGTCGCTATCTGTAACAGATCACATCACTGATTACATACAATATAGTTTTACTACCTGTGAAATGTGACGCCGCAGCATACGAACGCGACCGTTGCGCCATTTGTAATTTAAAAGAAGATTACACGAGAAACGTCCCAAGCGCAAAATTATGCTGTTGAATACATTTTTTTCTCCTGCGTTTCAAATAATGGAATGCAGCACATGGAAAGGAGACCGGGACGAAGAAAACAGACTAACGCAACTATTTCGGATAAACTGTATTTAGTTGTGTCTTAGTTAGTTAATTAGCTAGTTGGTTGGTTAGTTAGTTAGTTAGTTAGTCGGTCGGTCGGTCGGTCGGTCGGTCAGTCAGTTAGTTAGTTAGTGAGTTAATTAGTTAGTTAGTTAGTAAGTCGGTTAGTTAGTTAGAAAATTAGTTAGTAAGTTAGTTACTTAGTTAGATATATAAATAGATTATTAAGTCAGTCAGTCAATCAGTCAGTCAGTCAGTCAGTCAGTCAGTCTCAGTGCAGTCAGTCAGTCCAGTCAGTCCAGTACAAGTCAGTCAGTCAGTGCAGTCAGTCAGTCAGTCAGTCAGTCAGGTGCAGTCATGCAGCTCAGTCAGTCTGATCAGTCAGTCAGTCAGTCAGGTCAGTCAGTCAGTCAGTCAGTCCAGTCAGTCAGTTCAGTCAGTCAGTCAGGTCAGTCAGTCAGTCAGTCAGTCATCAGTCAGTCAGTCAGTCAGTCAGTCAGTCAGTCAGTCAGTCAGTCAGTCAGTCAGTCAGTCCGTCCGTACCGTCCAATCCGACCGTACGTCGAGTCAGTCATGTCAGTCAGTCAGTCCAGTCATTCAGTCCAGTCAGTCAGTAGAAGTCAGTCAGTCAGTCAGGTCAAGAACACCAGTCCAGTCAGTCAGTCAGTCAGTCAGTCAGTCAGATCAGTCAGCTCAGGTTAGATTGTAGTTAGGTTAGATTAGTTAGTTAGATAGGTTGTTTGTTTCGTGTTTACGCCGAGTTTTCTGCTTTGCGTAACTGGGAAATCTGAGGACAATATAACGACATCAGCTCAGTGTTAATCTCGTTCATTTACACTCAGACGCACGTTAAGCCGATGTAATCACATTTTCAATAGAGTTAATTATTAATTAACTAAATAATTACGGCTTTAATTTTTTGGAATACTCCCGCAAATACCAAACACTAAAAAATGCATCCGCCTATAGCCATTAAATTCGGGCGTGCGTAAAGCCCGTGTCTACACTAGCAGAACTTTAGTTTCAAACTCGAGCAAACTCTGAGCAAACTCCGAGTTTGCCAAAGAAAAGTTTTCCAAAGTTTGCCAGTGTAGACCAGTTGGCAAGACTTCGGCAAACTAGTTTGCCAGAACAGTTAGGCCGTGCACCTTCGTGGCAAACTAAGTTGCTCGAGTTTGCTGGAGGTTTGGAATAAACTCAGGGCCATTCAGAATGACAGTTTGTAGTCATGTGATCCTGCAAGATAGACAAACATTGGACATGTGACATTGGAATATACAGTCAGTACGAGTGAAACTCCCGCGAGTTTTGCTCGATTTGCGGCGAGTATTGTTCAGAGGTTTGCTGCGAGTTTGCTCGAACTCGGAGTTTGCTCCGAGTTTGCCAAAACTAAAGTTTGCTAGTGTAGACATGGGCTGTAGAAGTGCGTAGAGAGGCATCTGCCAATAAAAATGTCGTTACGAGGCACGGTGACGTCAAGCTCATTGTCTAACCAGTAAACCCACGACAATGAGCGTGGTGACGTCATGCATTTTTTAGACCTGTTAATAGCACTAGCTGGAACCCGCAGCCTACGCGCGGCTTAGAGTGACTGTGCATGGACATTGTTACCAGTAGTGTTATGTGTAAGGTGTTATACTGGAGAGTTTAAGTTGTTGCACATGTTTGTTTTTATGGTTGAGTATGTCAATACAAAATACATGTACATCATGTTACAGCGTAACACATAACACGCATTTGTTGGCAATACACAGTGAAATAGACACACACACACACACACAGCACACACACACACAGCACACAACACACGAGGGACGGCTACAAATGTCTTTTATTGCTATCGCCTATGTACTGGTTGATGATACGGACTGCAAAGTTCGATATAGATGATCCATTGGGCTGGTAGGTCGTCGCCACCGTTAACAGCCACATTGCTGCGTACCGAAGCGTGAAGTAGACGTGGTGGCTTCGCAAGTGTTTCCACTCTATGCGGCACCTAAGCCGTAATATTAGCGTGCTTGTAAGATCGAACGCGCTTGTGACAGCGTCGCTGTTGCAGCCGACAAATCGCAGCACAGCTTTGAATACCGAGACATCTGAAATACGTGTGTGATCACGAACAGTGCTTACGCACTTTTCAAAATTATCCTGAAATAAAGAACTCTAGCAAAATTCCTAGGAATGTTACGAAGGAAGTTGTCAGATGAAGTGCCAATTTCTTCAAGTCAGCTCTGATGGAAATTCAACTTGTACATCTCATATCGGAAAACTATCCCGAAATAGCTACTGAACATTTAACTTCAATTATTACATGCTTAGTTCTACTTACATTATTGGGGCTTTACAACAATCTCTGTGCATGCAGGCACAACGTTCACAGTAACGGCGAAAATATCTAGCAAGGGCAAAGATATAGCGCCCGACCAAGTTTGTCAGGCAAATCTTTACCTTTTTTGGTCTTGTTAAGGCCTTTTTTTTTCGGCGTTTTCAAACCGAGTAAAGTTTAGGAACGCGCCGTCCGTGTATTGATGCGCTCTCCTTGTGAATTTGGCGCTATTTGCGATAAAACTGACGCGAGTCCTTTCATTAACATGACATACATAACAATACAACATTCGGCCAAATTACAGTAAGATGATAAGAACAGAGAAGATAAACCAGTAGCCCACGCTTTACACTGACTGGTAAGAATTTGATGACGTCACTAACATTGTATACACATGAAATGCCACGGGCGATAAGAATTCTGTGACGTCACGCATATATTGTTTTAGCTGTTCTCTGCTGGATTACCCGTAACAAACGCTGGCCTTCACTCGGTATCCCGAGATCTTACAGCAATATAAGCGGCCCGCCTCGCACGGTTTCGCAACCTCATGTCTAGCTAGTCCTAGGCAGGCGGATCGGGGATACATTCGCATGGACTGAGGCTGTCTTTATGTAATTAGGACGTCATTGTGTAAATTACGCGCGTAAATTCTTTTCGCATACTCTTCACAGTACACCCGATCTCGCGTCAGCGAACGCGCGTGAGTAGATGTGGTTTAACGTAATAACTGGCGTTGCGTGCATAGTGCGTGCAGTAAAAGCGTGGCGTGGCGCGTGTAGCGTGGCGCGCCGCGTTGCTCCTGCAGGCGGTTCGGTCTGCTATGCGATCACCCTCCTCCGCCCCACTCCAGCCTGTGAGTGCGAGACTGAGCCGTGCGGCGGGACCTGACAGCGACGCTTGTGTTCGTCTCACTCCGCACCGCCTATTAACGTGTCGCGACACGACGCGGCGCAACAGCGTAGTGACGGCCTGGTCGCGTCGCACCGTCTAATGTGACTCACGTCCGCGTGAGCGTGATGAGCGGCCGCACCGCCGCCCGCCTTACGTGAGATGCTCGCAGGCCTGCCGCATCCCGAAATGCCTGCGTGCCGAGCAGTGCGTGCGTGCGTGCGTGTGTGTGCTGCGTGCGCGCGTGCGCATGCGCATGTTGTGATTCATGACCATTCATCCATCCATTCCATCCGTCGACTGCCCGCTCTCTGCGCGCTCGCGTACCGGCGTGGCGTGCGTGTGTGTGTGTGGGCTGTGTGGGCATTTGTGTTTCTGCTTTTTTGTCTGTCTGTTTGTCAGCTCGCTCTATATAGCTTTCGTTCCGCGTCCCTCTCTCGCTCTCCGTCTCTGTTTAATACTAATCTGTTATTCTCTGATTAGCGTCTCTGTTATTCTACTTGGCGTGAACGTCATCAAGTGGGTTTGTCGTGGTTTTAGTTATCATTCTATACTTAATGAATCCGAATCACAGCTTGGCAGCGCGACAACGCAGCGGGGGCTACGTGCTCAAACCTCACTCATAAGAAATACGTAACTTAAATACGCAACAAATAACAAGTGCCGGAGGAGCGACAGCGCATCATCTAACATCTATGCGGTGACTCTGTGGTGGGGTGGTGAAGATCTAGTACCCTGTTAGTCGCCAATGTGTTCACATACACCCGAACAGTGAAGGCACAAGGGATGGTATCAAAGGAACGCTTCTCCAAAAGAATGTTCGTCTGGGATCGTTTATGAAAGTTGCCAGACGAGATGGCGCGTACGTTTAAAAGTGTTTCAGATTAAAGGATGGAAGCTGCCCATCGTACGTAGTAAGCAATCAACTATTTGCCAAGACAGAATAGGTAAGGCATGCATCCATTTACCGTACGCAAGCCTAACAGGCTAAAATAGAGAGTGCGCACGTACACTAATTAATGCGCAGGCAAAAACACTACACCAGTACCTACGCACCACAATGCAACTGCATGGCCACTGGCAGTGGCATATACGTTACATGTAACACACTGACAAGTAACAGAATGGCAATAGAAATTATACGATTTAAGGACATAAACCTTCACAGCAAATTTTAGCCTTTTGAATTTCACATGTGACATTGTAGCCTCATACATCCAGGCATGTATATGAATTCTAACTAGCAAACCCGGCAGTCAAATTCCTTTACTAACAGTAAACTAAATTTATCCATATGTTTACCCCGCCTGCTTGAGGTCAAAAAGGTTATCCGAACTTACTCTCGCATGTTACAGCAGAATAGTTACATTTGCATGGTCTTTATCAAATTAAGCCCAATAAAAAATGCTAGGTCACCCTGAAACAAAAAGTTTATCCAATCGCTCCGTGCAGACCATGTCCTCAGAAAATGTCTAGAAATGCTGCGCTGTGCCCCAATTGACACTTTGACCTGTGACTCCAATTTGCGCACAGTGATGCTCCATTTGTGCCCAAACTGT